GATCTAAGGCTAACTCGCCCAGATCGTGGAGGTGGAGGCGCGTAGGGGCGGGGCGTCGTCGTCGTCGTACGCTTCGCTCCTCGTCCTCCTTCCCCTCCTCCTCCGCCTGCTCCTCCCCCTCCTGTTCCTCCTCCCCCTCCTCCTTCCACGTTATACTAACGTCATGTTCAAACCTGTTGCGTTCTTGAGCTAGCGCAGAGAAGACAAAACAAACATCCGATTCGGAACACAGTACCTGGCAGGCGTCGTAGGAACAGCTGTAAGAGAAAGGCGGCAGGCAGTGCAGAAGAAAAATAGGCGCCTTCGAGGTGCGAGAGGCCAGCGCACCTTAGTCGAAGACTCCCCTATTACAGAAGCGTGGTAAAGCTAAGCCTCTTAATATTCAACGGTATGCGCTGTTTCATATCACTGGTAAACAATGCATCATGGGTCTCAGCAGAGGCAGAGACGGCGAGCATCCAGGCAGCGCGCTTCAACATTTCCTTCATCGCCCGACATATCCGTGAAGAGCGCATCTCCGCTTGTGTCTTTCCAGCTGTGACCCGGCACATTTGGACAGCGCGTATCCTTGTTGTTTCCAAGGCGTGACCCGGCATATCCGGACAGCGCGCATCCTCGTTGGTGTCTTCGAAGGCGTGACCCAGCACATCCGGGCAGCGCATATCTACGTTTCCTCCCAAGAGTGACCGGGCAGATCCGGGCAGCGCGCATCCCCGTTTTTTTTTTTTTTTTTTTTTTTTTTTTTTTTTTTTTTTTTTTTTTTTTTTTTTTTTTTTTTTTTTTTTTTTTTTTTTTTTTCAGCCGTGAAGTTGCATATTTGGGCAGCGCACATATGCATTTCCCTCCAAGCGTGACCAGGCAGATCCTGGCAGCGCGCCAGCGCGTCTTCTCACCTCACTGCCCGATGGCATTTGGATTGTGGCAGGCACGCGGGTTGAGCATGTTTTTTTGTTTATTGAATCGCTTCGCTCATTCCGCCGGCCCGTGATATGGCATCGCTGGTTTTTGTCTTGCGTTCGTTGCCCATGTTGCGCTCTTGGGGGCGGGTGTCGTTCGGACGCGTTGCGTGGGGAGTTTTGATGGTGAAGCAGTTCCCTGGGGGTCGTCTCTCGATGGGGCGAAATAGAGTCGTCGTCAAGATGCTTCTTTGGGGGGCCTCTTGGGGTCTGTTGAGAGGCCGTTCGGGGGCGCCTGGGAGACATGTTTGAAGCCTTCTGGGGCTTCTTTTGGGCCTCCTGGGAGTCTCCTGGGGCCTCTTGGCGACATCTTGGGGCCTCTTGGAGGCCTCTTGGGGCCTCTTTGGGACCTCCTGGGCGCCTTCTGGGACGGAGGGCTCCATTTTTGAGTTCTCGGTATCCCTCCTGAGTCCCTCTTGGGCCCGTCTTGGGGCCTCTTGGTCCGTCTTGGGCGGCACTTGGGCCGTCTTGAGGGCTCTCTTGGGTCGTTTCGGCGCCGTCTTGGGAGCTTCGTGGGCCGTCTTGGAGCGGTCTTGGGGGCCTCTTGGGCCGTCTTGGAGCGTCCGGAAGCCGAAAAAGCCAGAACACAAAAAACATCGAAAAAAACAAATGAAAATCAACGATTTTGGCCTCTTGGGGCTCTCTTCGGAGGCCTCTTGGAAGGCTCTTGGGGCGTCTTGGAGGCCTCTTGGGCTGTCTTGGGGGCCTTTTGGGCCGTCTTGGGGTCATCTTCGGCGTCTTCGAGCGCTCTTTGGGCGTCTCGGGGGCCTCTTGGGCAGTCTTGGGGGCCTCTTGGGGCACTCTGAGCGCGCTCTGGGGAGCCTGAGAGGCCGCACCCAGAAGGAAAACCATCTCTGAGTAGACTTGGTCGGGCGGCGGTCGGGCGGCGGTCGGGCGGCGGTCGGGCGTTGGTCGGGGTACTTTTCGCCGGGGGACCCCCAGGGGCCGCCCCGCGCGCGCGAACTAGAAATACTGTTAATACTGTTAACCAGTTACCGGAGATCTTAGCACGCCCTGGCCCGTTGGGCCGGCGAATTCCTCTTCTTCTTCTTCTTTTTCTTCTTCTTCTTCTTCTTCTTTTTCTTCTTCATCTTGTTCTTCTTCCTCTTTTTGGGCCGTGCGATTCGGCGGCGACCGCTGCCCGCACGAGCCTGCCATGCAGGCGCGAGCCCAATCTCCAACTTCTGGCTTGCCTTTTTTTTTCTCCCGAATCCCGTCGATGGTTAACCAATTGCTCTAAGTTGTTCTGTTTGCGCCCCCTTCCAAGAACTGCACGCGTGCGGATTCGGAGTGTTTTTTTAACCTGCATGCGCGCAGGTTCGGAGTTATTTCTTTTCGCCGTCTTCATACCCAAGGTATGTTCTCTTGAGGGCCACGCCGTTCAGAAACCACGCTGTCGGATGCTGCTGGGAGGTCGTCGACTCGGGTGACCAACTCCTCCTGGGAATCGGCGCCGTAGGCGCCGCCAGGAGGTCCAACGCCAGTCAATGAAATCCGTGGGGAGCTCCGGCCGCTGCTGACGTTTCCCCTGGCCGTTCGTTGTGCGTAGCGTAGTTCAGAAGGGTGAGTTTCACAAGCAGTTTTTGTTTTGCACCGCTTGCGGGCATACACAGCCTCCAGGTGTCATTTGCTAGGGAAGGAGTGTTTGCAACGCAAACTTGCAGGTGCCCGCACGACTCTCCGTCGTACCTATCTATTCAGGCTTGCACTTGCAGTGCCTTGAGGACCTCTCGCAGGTCACAGCAGGTGCGTCCTCTCGCCGAGGCGCTTGGTCTGGTTCAGACCGAAGGTAGGCTGGTTTTGGCTACGAGAGTGCAAGGACGTGAGGCGGCGGCTGTGGGGTCCTGCGGAGAAAAATCAGATCATTTGTACACAGAACAGCAGGAGCAAGTAGACACAGTAAACAGGTAAGAAATGATGAACTTACGCTGACAAGAGTAGAAAGCATGCGACGGTGGGCAGTGTGCCAGAAACGTGATACTACAGATGATGAGTGCAAGTTTGGCGGCAATTCTTCGGCTGCTACCCCAGGTTTTGGGGTATACCCCTAACCACCTGGACTTGGGGCCGCATGTTTGTTTGGCTATTCTTTTGTCTCTGAGCACGAATCCTTTGTGACTGCTGACTGTAGGCTGGCCCTATGGGCTGGCCTGTGCGAGGCGTAAACCCTGGGAGCAGCTACCGAAGTGCGATACCGAATGAAAGCAGGTGTTCCGCCTCCTCTCCTCAAAACCGCCGACAGGGTACACACATCTAGTAACATTATCCTATCAGGTGCCTCTGTGCGTAGACTTCCGCCGACTCGGCGGGCCCCATACAGGCAACTTTGGGAGCATCCTCCTCCACCTCCTCTTAAGCGTCCTCCTCCTCCTACTCCTCCTCTTCCTGTTCGAGCATCGATTTGTTTTGGTGGTCGCGGGCCTTTGGAAGCATCACGAGTCTTTCGCGGAGCCTCGGCGGAGACTTCCAGATGTCTTCCTGGAGACGTCGGAGACATCTGGAGACCTCCAAAGAGAGGATGTCTTCAGAGGTTTGTGGAATTCGGTCGATTTTCAGGGCTTCTATCGGCGCTGCATCGGCTTCCGGCGGAGAGGGAGGATGAGGAGGAGCAGAAACATGAGGACGAGGAGCAGCATCAGCAACACGAGGGCGAGGGGAAGGGGGACAGGTGGAGGATACACAGGGGCATGCAGCCAAGCCGCGGGGCCAGCCAGGGTGGTTCAGAAGCATGCGCACGATGATCTTGATCACGCACGTGGGCTACGATCGGACCGAGCTATAAGATCGAGGTCGGCTCGGGCAGGGTACCCTAATGTTTTTCATGCTTGTTGGATGCTCTTGTGCATCTTGGGGGAGGGTACCCCCGAATGTTCTTCAGTTTGGCCATCGGAGGGTCGCATGTTCTCGAAGGATGTTTTTCTGTCTTAGGTCTGGCCGTACATACGTATTCTGAGAAGGTGTCATGGACCGGGCTGCTCGTGGTCCGATTCGATCCGATCTCCGGCTTGCGGGTGCCGAGTCCGATCCGCAATCCCAGACGATCAGATTTTGGCCTGGTTCCGCGCCGATCCAGCTGCGATGCGACCAGTTCCCGATCCGACCCGATCCAGCTCAGGCCTGAAAGCGCGCGCCCTCGCTGCCCGCGGGCGATTCTCGTCTGCGCCTTCGACCTTCAGCTGCCGCCGCGCCTCCTCCTCCTCCTCCTCCTCCTCCTCCTCGCGGCACCCCCTTCTGCCTCGCCCCGGCTCCTCGCATGGCACTTGCCCCCATCTCCCCTCTCTCTACCTGCTCCTCCATCCTCCCTCCGCCGACCTCACGTACTTCCCATTTCCTCCTCCTTGCGCTCCTCCTTACATGCTTCCTCCTCCTCTTCCTGGGTCCCCTCCCCTTCTCGTGTTTAGGTCGGCCGCCCTTGGGTTCTCCGAGGCATTTCAAGAGGAGGTACCTCATCCAAGGGAAAGGGCCCTCTGGAGAGAAGGTTGGTAGTGGTTTCACCAGGCCTGTTCCAATCTTCGCGAGTGTCGATCGCTGTGTTCGGCGTGTTTGAGTCTCTTTTTGTGGCTTGGTGCATCGTTCTCGGCACACCTCGTCGTAATCCAGAGTCTCCAGAGCCTCCTCCTCCTCCTCCTCCTCCTCCTCCACACCCATACTGTCCCCCTCCTACCCATCCTCCTCCCCCACCTGCTTCTGCTCCTCCTCCTTCTCTTCTTCCTCCTCCTCCTCCTCCTCCTCCTCCTCCTCCCAAGATTATTCCTCCTTCCCCCCTTTCCTTCCCCCCTCCCCTCCCCCTTTCCTGAGATCCGACGTTACGAAAACATGCGACGTCTTGAGAAATCGCGACCGGAGCACGCGGCCCTAGACCCCATCGTCCTGCCTGAATCTGTGAGCACGATCGATCTGTGATGGCCCCAGGGCCCGAGACCGCGCGAAAGCGCCAGGCGTGGAGCACTTGCAGCGCCTGGATCTCAGGGTCCTCCCCCCTCCAGTGCTCCTCCTCCCTCCCCATCCTCCCGGCCACCCCCCCGTGCCTCTCTCGCGTGCCGTCTCGAGCTCAAGTTGAGCCGCTTTAGTGCACACGACTTTGGCGGGCGAGGCGGTCCCGACCCCTGCCGCGCGGCCTTGACGGGGGGGAGCCAGAGCTTGCCCGGAGGATGAGCAGCGTGTCGAGGAGGCTCGTTGAGGATCGACGAGGTTCGAGTTTCTTAGTTCCCAGCCTCTGAGGGGTCAAAGGTGTACAGATACCGGTGCCCCTGCCTCGTGTTCGCATGTTCGGGTCTCCGGGGAGGCCCTCGTCGCCACGGCTGGATTCGTCTCGAAATTCTGGGCAGATTGCCCCTTGAGGGAGGTCTTGGGAGTGGCCGTATCGTTTTTAAGTGTAGTTTCGCACTCCATGTTTCTTGTTTGTCTTTCTAAAGGAGCTGGATTGGTCAGCTCAGGTTTCTCCAACTCCCCGCCCGTGGGCGCCCGTGGTTGCCTTGTGGAAAACTTAGTCGATGAAGAGCGGTTCGAGCAGGTTCGTTGCGGATCGAGGAGATTCATGTTTATGGTGTTTGGCCTTGTTGGGGGGGGGGCAGCGGGAAGGGCCCAGGGGTTTTGGTTAATCTTGCAGCAGGCGCGGGATTGAGATCCAGATGTGGCTCGCAAGCCGCTTGGGAGGCCTTGCCAGGTCACTTTCCATGGGAGGTTCTATCGTCGGCGTGCTTCCGACGCGTACGTAGAGAACTTTGCGACTGTGATGAGAGCTACGCGCGCTGCCTATGATCCCTCCTCTCAGTGTGCGCAACGGGATACTGGAACATCGTAGACGACTTCTCGCCCCCAATCCCCTACTTGCTTCATCCCGTCAATCAAGCCGTCTGAAAAAACAAACTCGCGGATACACCCCAGGGGGGCTATTCGGACGCACCCCTGGACCTATCGAGGATGGGCGACGCACTCCATCCTAGCCGTTTGGTCCGGCCGTACACCTCGTGGTCGCCGTTGTCCCGTTGAAAGCATTGGGGGCGCGCACTGGTGCCTTCACCAGGCTCGAAGTGAGGGGGGGTCATAATTCGCCATTTCCGGAAGCTTTCACCAGGTTTGGAGAACGCCATTCCGCCGCATTTTCGAGGGCAACCGTTCGCGCGAAGTCTCAGGCCACATTCTCAGCTAGTTGCGAGCCCCACGAACGCAGCAAGTACTCGCGCACATGCTGAGTGCACCTTCTAGAACCGGGAGGGGTCCAGAGCCCGCCGCAGGGCCCAGCGGGGGTCCAAGGGAGGTAGCGCGGCAGCGGGCAGGCAGGGTCGCGATTCGATTCGCCCGCGGGGTCCGAGATTCCGATTCGATTTCGGTTCGGCTCGATTCACCAGCATCGGCCGGGGCCAGTTGAGCGACGAACGAAAATGGCGTCGATTGTGCCGACAGGCGCGTAAGTTGCCCGCGCAAGGACGCGCGTAAGCGCCCTAGTCTCCAATGTAGCGTGCCGCGCTGGCGGCCCGCGTAAGCCACCGCGTCATATCGCTATGCCATCTTGCGTAAAATAAGTTTTTTCGTCGCTCAGCTCGAGCTTGGCGAGGCGATCCGGTCTCGACTCGATTCGGTACGATCTTCTTGCGATCCGATCCATTTTCGACCCGATCCGATTTCGCGGTTCGATCTAGTTCAGGCCTGGCAGGGGGTCGAGATCAGAGGAGGACGTCGCTGCCTGGAGAACGTTGTCGAAGCCCCAGGACATCCGAACTGCGATCCGAAGCGGAAAACCTACCAGGATGGGGATGTTTGGCGGATTCGGAGTCTGAAGTAGAAGGCGGATGAGGGGGGAGGGGCAACGCATCCTGATAACGATGCCCTTGCCCATGCCTCGGTTTCGCCCTTTTTGGCTGCCTTCGTCGCCACGGCCGGATTCGCAGCTGAGTCCGTCCTGTCCCCCAGATCACGGCGTGGTTGGTCGGTCGTCGGGTGGGTGGCAGGAGAGTTCGAGGCAAGATGAGGAGGCAGTTTCCATTTCGATCCGATCGATTCGATTCGATATCGATTCTAGTTGGCCCAGTCCGATTCAGGACGTATCGGTATTCAGACGCTCCGATGCGGCCCCGATGCTTGCATGGCGTTGTTGTTCATCATGGCACAGCCGATCCGACTCGATTTCGACTCTGTGTTCTGTGTTGATGCAGCCCGATCCGACGCCTATTACGAGTCGATCCGTTGTCCCGTGTGTATGCTGACTGATCCTGGGAGGGGATGGGCAGCTGGATCGGGCGCGGACAGGCACTCGGTCGGAGGAGAGGAAGGTGGGAGTCAGGGGAAGGGCCACTCGTCCTCCATGTCCTTTTCTCCCCCCCCTCCTTTCTCTTGGACCCTCCCAGTCCTCCTCGTCCTCCTCCCCGAGTTTCTCGTCCTCCTGGTCCTTCTTTGTTCGTCCTTCTTTCAGTGATTCTCAGGGCGTGTGCCGGCCTACTGTGCGGTTGCCACGTTCAGCTCCACCGATGGACCAATGCACTGCCTGCGTCGCACTGAGTGGTTTCGACGGACGTTTGGCAGCTGTGCTGCTGGATGCCCTCGTGGCGTCCCAGGAAAACAGGCGGGTTGGCAGCCCGATCGTCACCACAACTCGACGGGGCTGTGGGAGAGACTCTTGCCCTGTGGTTGGCCAGCCACAGTAGGTGCGGGCCCGCCGTACCACCTGTGAGAGGCCCGATGGGGTTATTCGAAGGGGTCCCCCGACGTGGGAGGCGCGAGAACTTGAGTCCTTGGGCAGCGGGGCCTCCGCTGCTTGAGGCCGGCGACCACGCGGGGGTGCTGCCAGTGGCCGTGTTTCGGGGTGGCATCTCGAGACACCTCGCAACGGCGGCGCAGATGTAACGCCTGGGGCGGGTTTGCGCCGCCGTGCATGTTGCGAGGTCCGACTGCATGTGAATTCACGCAGGCACCTTGGGCACCTCCTTTCGGGTCGTGTCGCCCGGCTGTTTTGTCCGGGCGCTCTCTGAAGATCATCGATTTTCCCTGTCCTACGCCCCCTCTTCCTCCTCTTCCGCCTCTCAGAGCCAGAGATACGTTCAGACCATGCGTACATTTGTCGGGAGGGATAACTAGACGCAGCCACATATATATATATATATATATATATATATATATATATATATGTACATGTATATATATATATATATATATGTATACATATATACATATATATATATGTATATGTAATATGTAGATATGTGTATTTGTATACGTATGTATGTATATATGTATATGTATATATATATATATAGAGGAGTAGGCCAGGGGGGGAAATCGGTGCCGTCATGCCCCATGGGGCCCCCCCGGACCTGTGGGGGGCCACAGGCCCCCCGGGACTGTCCCGGGCCGCTTCCACATTGCCCACGACAGGCCACGCGGGCTGTACAGATGGTCGCGAAAGCCTGAAGAGGCTCCGAAGACGCCCAATAGCGCCCAGGCAGAGGGCCCGTGAGGGCCCCAAGTGGGCCTCCAAGAGGCACAAATCGGCCGAGTTCCTTTGTAAAACGTGCGTTTTCGGCATACTCGCTGGCTTCGTCTTTGCAGACGCCCCCGCGGCGCCCCCACACAGCCCAAGAGAAACCCAAGAGGGCCCCAGACGGCCCAAAAGGGTCGGTTTGTGGGGCTCACGGGAGCCCCCAAGACGGCCCAAGAGGCCCCGAAGCCGGCCCAGGATGCCCCCGAGACGGCTTCAGGGAAGCCCAAGAGGGCCCCGTTCGAAATCATGTTCCCGGAAGCCTCTCCGGGAACATTATTTCCGGGCTCCCGGAGCCCTCTACTGTTACGATGCGCCTCTAAGCTCATATCTGGGAAAGGATGTAAACATTATTTATGCTCCAAAACTGTCCTTCGGTTTTGTGAGGCAGCTGCTCCAAAAATGCTCTTCGGTTTCGGTTGATTTTTGACGATGCTCCAAAAATGCGCGTCGGTTCCGGTTGAATTTTGACGATGTTCCAAAAAATGCTCGCGCGGTTTCAGTCGTCGCTCGACGATGCTCCAAAAATGCTCGCGCGGTTTCTGGGGCGCGTTGAAGATGTTTCCGGGATGCTCGGCCTTTTGCGAACACCTTCACAATGCTGCCAAAACCGCGCGAATATTCTTTGAGCCTCGCCAAAGTCCGACCAAAACCGCGCGAGCAGTTTTGGAGCGTCAACAGTCTACAACCAGAACCGCGCGGCAGCGTTTGACAGTAGACGACGTAAACGCGTAAGCACAAATGGACTAGTGATGCGGTTCGCCTGGACAGGTGTCAGGGGGGCAGGGAGCGCTTCGTCGCTTGGTGAGAGGGCAAGGAGCAAGGATATCGGATATCGTCTTGGGGGTGGGCGGGGTGGGGTGGGGTGGGTGGGGTGGGGTTAAGGGTTACTAGGTAAGGGTCAAGACTTATGGGCTTAGGCGCTTAGGGGCTTAGGGGCTTAGCTCTCGGACCACGACGCGTCGCCGGGCGCCGGGCCCGCAGCCGAGCAATCATGGCGACTCTTATATGCTCCGCGAAGGAAGGAGAGGATGGGTGGTGGGAGGGCTGGCCCCGAAACCGGGCGGCGCCTCCCCTTTTGCGGAGCATTCTATTTCGACGATGCCCCAAACATGCTCGCGCGGTTTGGTTGCATTTTGAGTGTCTAGGGCGGGCAGAAGGGAAGGGGGACGAGGAGGATGACGAGTCTGGGTTGTGGGCTAGGGGCCAGTGGTGTGCTTCCTAGGCTCCGATGGCAGGCGCATCTGGCTTCTGGGGTTAGTGGCTCGTGGTTAGTAGGTTGGTCCGTCTCAGGAGCATCCTGGGCACTTGTTGGCAAAGGCTTTAGGGTCTAGGGCGCGGGGTCTAGGGTCCAGGGTCTGGCTCTAGGATCTCAAGCCCAGGGCCATCACGACAAATATTTGGCCCTGCTGCTCCAGAGGCAACTGGACAGGCGCGGGCCTGAACAGCTTCGAGGTGCCCCACCGCAAGGGTGTCCGTCGACCTTCTGGGAGGTGACCGTCATCGGCTGCCTGGTGAGCCTCGCCGCCTTCGCCTGCGGGCACTTGGTGGGGCGACTCCATGGGCGCGGCACCACGCGGGATGGCGGACATGATGAGGACTGCGCGGCCAGGGGGCCG